GGGGGGGGGGAGCTACGTACGTACGAGGTAACGAGAGTCCGTACGTCGCTACTAATTATGCTATTATCCGGGTAGGCTAGGACCCATATCATGCTATACTTGCAATGTTGCCCTTACTAGATAACTTAATTACTTAAGTCATATTGGAAGTTGATAAGAGAATTGTAAAAGGTTAAATTTCACATACTTGAAGTTGTAAATGAGAGACTTGACTGTTATTGAAATAACTATATTTTTTTGAAGTATTTTTTGTTTGTGGAGCGGGCCAAATGCCTAGGTAGCATATAAATGCATCTATGGTTCGTGTCGTTCGAACCTCGGCAATGTACAGTTTAAATATTATGTTGGATCGGGACGTACGACCTCGACATAACTTGCGCATGATATATCTTTGGAACTATTCATAATTGATATTGTTTAAATGCCTTGAGATACAAACTGTTAAATGATGAAACTAGACTTGGGACTTAATAATTGTGAAGGAAGAATTTATTACTTCCTGTTATTGAGCTTTCAGTATTATTCATGGAATCCATGCTTAGTATATAGTTTTGATATATCATTGCTAGCCCATAGTAAGTGTCAAAGTTGATCCCTCGTTACTACTTCTTCAAGGTTAGACTGGATACTTACAGGGTACATGTTGTTTATGTACTCATATTACACTTCTGCACTTAATTGTGCAGGATTTGAGGCAGGTACATCTGGTTACCAGTCCGACGCACATGTTTGATCCCCGCTACGAGACTACACGGTGTGCCGCCCTTCCGAGCCGTTCTGCAGTGGTCGGAGTCTTCCTTTTATTTATTTATTCGATCTATTCCATTTCAGATAGTGGATTAGAAATCTTTTGTATATTCTACTAGTAGCTCATATACTTGTGACACCGGATCTTGGCACACACTAATAGACTTATGATTTTGGGTTGTAATTTTACGATTATGATTTCATTTAGCTGCTTTCATTTTGATTACTTAAAAATTCGTTATTCATTAAATTCTTTAAATTAAGGAAAGTTAGTTATTTGCAAAACTTATTTAAAATGGAAATCACTAGATTGTTCACTGTTGGCTTGCCTAGCAATGGTGTTGGGCGCCATCACGACCTAAACTAGAATTGGGTCATGACACTTCTCTTCTTCAGATCCCCTCCCCCTTTGTTCTCTCCCCCCCATTCTATTCTTCTTCTTCAGATCCCCTCCCTTCCCCTTTTTCTTCATCTTTCTTCATCCCTTCTTCCATTAGATTTTTTTCTTGGTGTGTATTTCTTCTTCCATCATGTTATCTTTCCACTCTCTATGGCTCCACCATTTTTTCCGGTGGTATAAGATTTCAATTTTTTTTACGGCCCTTCCAAATTGGGGTAGAAGAATAAATCAAAATTCAAAAGATTAATTCTCTATTTTTAAGAGGATTTTTCATAAATAGATAACTTTCTTTAAAAGAGGACTGAAGGAGATGGTGGTACTCATGGTAGAGGAGCCATGGCAAGTGAGTTATTCTTTTAAGAAGATTGAGTGGGGCGGCTTTAATTTTAATTTTTTGCTTTTCTTTTATTTTTTATTTATGAAATTAAAATTTTGTTGAATAATATTATTTTGGCATAGAATATGATGTGAATGCTGATTTGTCATTCACATCAAGCAAGTGAGCATCACACGAATCCGAAAGGGGTTTAAAAGTCTTGTTTTGATTAAGAGCCTGTTTGGATGGGCTTAAAAGCTGGTCTTAAAATCTTCTTAAAGGTCAAATGCTTTTAAGCCAAAAGGTCCAAATTAAGCCAAAAGTGATAAGTTGGGTAATTCCAACTTTTTTTTCTAGCTTAAAAGTCACCCCTCTTTGACCAAGTATTTTACATTGCTATCCCTGATACTTATGTATGATTTCCAAAATACCCAATCATTTCCTTTTCTCCTTTCCTCCGCCATTTTCAATCCCCGTCTTCCAAATTCCATAATCTTTTTTTTTCTCCTTTCCTTTGCCATTTCCAATTTGTGCCTTCCAAATTCCATCACGGCCGAACTCATTGTTTTGTTTTAGTTTCTTTTTTGGTTCCATAACATTTTTTTTAAAATAGATTGCTGTTGAATCCCTCATTTTTATAAATTGGTGAAACTTTATTCTAAATCAAAATTTTCAATGAGTCTACATGTTAACAAAGAATTTGAAGCTATGAGACGAAAAAATATATTGTGGTGAAATAATAGATTATTGCATGTTATTTAAATAAATAATTTATATTTAGGCAATCAGTTTAAATTGAAAATGAACTAAATTATAATTTTTTTTTGTATATGTATTAATTTAGAATAAAATATTATTATAATCATATTCTTTATTGTGTTAACAACTTTAAGGATATTTCAGTCATTTTATAGAAACAAGTGCTTACCAGCACTTATTTACCAAACATTTCAATAACTTTTTTTAAGTTTCAGCACTTTTATCCAAACACTTAACTGCTTATTTATAAAACAAGTTCCAGCACTTAAAAAGTGCTTTTAAGCACTTATACTTAAAAGCCACTTCTTTTAAGCCAATCCAAATGGGCTCTAAGTTGAGGTGTCTGAATGAAACTTTATGAAGTGTAGTGATCGAGATAACAATTCGGAACAAATACAAGTGTCTCCTACGCCATTCTGCCTTAATATTAGTGTAAAATATTTGGATTTATATATTCTTTTCACATAGTATTATTCTATTACAATATTTGATGTCGACTTTCTTTCCTCTATTACTAATATTTACATGAGTTATGTAAAAATTATGTATTATTTTATACGAGATGACATGTTAAATAAAAATGCAAAAATAATTATACATGGACGAACACCACTAATGATAAACATAAACCTTCCTTAAAGTAACTAATTGCAATTCATTAATCCTTGTGCTATTACACATGTTCTTTTGGTTGCATTGTATTCATATATTACATGTTATCTGATTTGATGCTCGATTAATTGAAATTCATGTCACATAAGATCCATTAAAGACCTTAATTCTCAGATTATTATCCCAATATAACTTGCTTTAGCCAAACAAAAACAAATTGTATCAAAATTATACAAGTAGTGAAAAATGATTAAAAGAAAATAGTTAACTACTCATATTATCCACTAAAAATAGGATTTATAATGAGCATTTAAAAATGGGTCAAATATGGATAAGAACCATATTATCCATATTTAAAATGAATAACTAATGGATAACTGATGAGTTTAACTTTTATATTTATAAAACCTCAAATTAGAGGGTTACTTAAGTTTGGGAGATTAAGAATTCTCTCAAAAGTGATCATATTCAAGAAGTCATGAATAATATACACATATTATCCACCCTTACTTTAATTTTTATTTATATTAAATAGAGGCTGGATAATTTATCTATTTTTTTATTATTCATTTTCGATCTGACCCGGCCATTTGACACCCCTATTAGTACAAGTATCGACGTCAACAAAGACGGGACTTTTCAGCAGCAGATATGTGTAGTACAAGTATATTGTCGTTAACAAACATTGCTACTTTCAACAAATTATTGAAGTTAACGTTAACCCCTTGGAACAAAGTCCAAAAAGACACATACAAAGGCAAACTTTAGACGGTCCAATGTCTTCCTCTTTCCTCGTCCCTTCTATTCTTCATTCTACTACTTCTGGTGCCTAACATTCTTTGAAATTAGAATCCCCCATTTGAAGATTTGCTTTTACAACATTCTCAGAATCTGACCAAAAAATTAAATAACAGAAAATAAAAGGAAAAGACCAAAGAAATTCATAGCTCTATCAACGCCCTCTTTCACGTTAGCACACCTCTCCTACTTCTCCACCCCCTTTCATCTCTCTCTGTATAATTCACACACAAAAAAATCCTATATAGTGACCCTTTACCTTAAAAAGCTTCAATCTTGCCCTTTTTTTTCTTCTTCTTGTTGAATCTTTGTTTATTAGAAAATAGAAACAATGAAGAATAGACATAGTGTTAAAGTATCTGTAAAATGGATTCCCATTTTCTCTATTGCCTTCTTCTTCATTGGAATGCTATTTTCTAACAGGTAACTAATTTAGATTTTGGAGTTTTGAGTTATGAAAAGTTTTGATTTTTATTTGATGGATCTATTTGTTTTGCTGAAGATTGTGGTCACCAACTGAATCCAGCAGTCAGCTCATAGCTCAGCATAGAAGGGATCAAGAACTTCAAGTTGTTTCTGAGGACTGTAATTCAACCAAAAAGGTTTCTTTTGATCTAAATCTAACCTGTGTTTCTGGTTTTGCCATGAGTTGTTGATTTTTGTATATTGAACTTCATTGTGGATTTTAGCTGCTTTTAAGTTAAAATTTGTCTTGTTTTGTGAATTCTTGAGTTCTTGATTTTGGAGTTGGTTAGGAGTTCATCAATCTGTCTGTTCTTTTCTGGAGTTTTGCTTTGTGGCTGTTCATTCTAATAGTGGATTTTAACTTCTATTAAGTACAACCTACTGTTTCTACAAAAAAATTGACTTATTGTTTGAAGCTAATTCTGGATTTTAGCATTTGCTGAGTTCATTCTGTTTTTGCAAAAATTATGAGTTCTTGCTTTCTGGGTATTGAAGCTAATTGTTGATATAAGCTTCAATCTGTCTGTTTTTTGAACTTCTTTTTTCTTTATTTCTGGGTGCTGAAGCTACTTGTTGATATTAGTTTCTGCAAGTTCAATCAATCTGTTTTTTTTTTGTTTTTTTTTTACCTTTATTCTGGTTACTGAAGCAAATTGTGGATTTTGGCTTTTGCAGATTGCAATCTTTTTAATATCTGAACTCTTTTGAGTGTTGAAGCTAACCGTAGATTTTAGCTTCTGCTAAGTGCAATCTTTCTGTTTGTAATTTCTTTCTTTCTTGATATATCTGAGTACTGAAGCTGATTGTGGAGTTCTGTTTCTGTTGAATTCAATCAATCTGCTTTGTTTTTTTCCTCTGAGTTCTTGATTATGATGATTGAAGCTAATTGTGGAATTAGCTTCTTTGAAGTTCAATCTATTTGCTATGTGGTTTTCATGAGTTATATCTTTACGGTTATTGAAGCTGATCGATGGAGGTTTAGCTTTGTTAGGTTCATTGTGTCTTCTTGTACTTTTTCATGAATTCTTGCTTTCTGATAGTCGAAGCTTATTTTGGCTTTTAGCTTGTGGCCTTACTTGACAAACTTATGCTGAATTGTCATAATTTGCTGGTATGCTAGAAACAAGGACAAGACAAGGATGTAATGCAAGAGGTGTACAAAACCCATGAAGCAATTCAGTGAGTTCCCTAAGCCATCATACTTTTGTTTTTTTCCCCTAACTTTCTATTTTTGGTACTAATGGTTGTAAGCCTGTTTTGGGAGGTCTGCTTAGATCATTGGACAAATCAATTGCTATGCTTCAGATGGAGTTGGCAGCCACTAGGAGTACACAGGAAATGAAGGTGGCTGATCAGTCTTCCAATTCTTCTCGTTCTCAAGATGGACCTCCGAGGAAAAAGGTTTTTGTGGTAATTGGAATTAATACCGCTTTTAGCAGTCGGAAGAGGCGTGATTCCGTTAGAGAAACTTGGATGCCTCAAGGGGAAAAGCTTCTCAAATTGGAGAAAGAGAAGGGAATTGTAGTCCGGTTCATGATTGGTCACAGGTATATGCTGTTACTTCGTTTCCTTATTGACATATGGATTCTAAATCCTGCATTTTTGCAATAATCTTGAGCTACTGTGTCAGTAGTTCTTAAGTTTCTGCATGACTTGGGTTTCCTAAACGGGAAATCAGAGAAAGAAGTTTAATCTTAATTGTGGATGCTTAACAGAATAAACTAAATTGGATTGAACATGCTATCATGTTGTCGTGCCTTTGCCTTTTTGTTTTTTTCAAATAGAAGAAACACGTTTTACAATAAAATAGTTCAGATGATTAATGCTGGTTGTTATTTGATGGACACAATAAAGTTTTAACCCTCAGAGAGAAATCGTAGGTGCTTTGAAGATGTAGCTAATTTTGAACAGAGAATTAAGTCGGACTGTATATTTTTATTTCACTTTTGGTATAAAGAGGCCTTAGTAGAAGATGTATATTCAGTTGTAGACATCATTGGGTCATTGTAGCTATTACAGGACTAGGTTTTTGGGTTTTTGCTTTAGGGATCCTGTATCTTTTGTTTCTCTTAGCACAGTCTTTGTGCTAAGGGCTACTTTCTCTTTACTTATATATAATCTGTTACCTTCTTAAAAAAAAATAAAAATTTAACCTTCAAGTTCTTCTTGGTGACAAGAATTTAACGGCATAACTACTGTATTCTTTGTAAACGGTTGATTTAAAATGGTCTGTATATGAATGTTTAGTGTAACATATTGAGACTAAATAATAAGAAAGTTCTCTCTCCATTTGACTTCTGGAGATATCAAACAGAGAACGAGCAGTTTTGAATTCCTACAAAGAGCATTGTCTAGTACCTTTACTTTCAGTATGAGTGTCTTGTTAACTTAGTGTTAGTACAACAACAACAACATACTCAGTGTAATCCCACATAGTGGTGTCTGGGGAGGATAATATGTACGCAAACCTTACCCCTACCTTTGTGGAGGCGGAGAGGTTGTTTCCAATAGACTCTCGGCTCAAGGAAAGTATAAGCACAAGTGCACAACAATAACGAAAAAGGAATACGGTAATGTAGAAGCCATGAAAAGAAGCAGTAACAACAGCAAAATAATAAGATGACCGAAGAAAAGAAACAACACGTAGTACTAGAAATCTAAGAATAAGAAAATGCGAGACTACGTACTAATACTACAACAATAATAAGTGGGGTCTGGTGAGGGTAGGATGTACGCAACCTTACCCTTAATACTACTAGTAAGAAAAAGAAGAACGCTCGACTAGCCAGTATCCTCCTACCCTAATTTACAACCTCTACCTTCCTATCAAGGGTTATGTCTTCGGTAAGCTGAAGATGCGACATGTCCTGCCTAATTACCTCTCCCCAATACTTCTTCAACTTACCTCTACTTCTTTTTAAATCCACTAGCCAACCTCTCACACCTTCCCACTAGGGCATCTGGGCCTCTCATTTTCACATGCCCGAACCATCTCAGCCTCGCTTCCCACATCTTGTCCCCCATGTCCCGAATATCTTCATTCTTGATCATATCTCTCCTAATATGCCCACACATCCATTCGAGCATCCTCATTTCTGCCACTTTCATCTTCTAGACATGAGAGTTCTTGATTAGCTAACACTCCGCCCCATACTACATAGTCGCTCTAACAACCACTCTGTATAACTTACCTTTTAACTCCCGGAGGCACCTTCTTATCACATAGGACTGTCACCTTAGTGTTAGTCTGTTGGTGATTTGCAGAATGTGTTTAAATTGCACTAATTTGATTTTTCTTTTTGTCCCATTTTAAATTTCAAAATTTTTAGTCCTCATTTTTAATATTTTTCCTTTTATTTTGTTCTTTGCTCGAATGTAGTTAATTGGAACCATAGAGAATGCTGCAGGTAATGTGAAAGCAGTTGATGCAGTTGGCTTCCGTTAGGGTTACCCCAAGCTCTATAGGGATGTTTGAAAATATCCGTCACCAAGTTTATGCAAGAGTCCTACTTTCCAAAGATGCCAAAAAGAGAGGATAAACTTTTTGAAACTGGTAGCTTTTCTATATTTCATATGTAGCAAAAATAGTACTTAGGTAGTACTGAGACCATATATACAAGAGACTCTATCTATCACTAACACTCTCTATATTGAGTCTAAAACATCAATAATGGTATTAGTATATCATTTGTGTACATCTGATTACACCAAAAACTTAACAACAAAATAAAGTTTAACTTATCTTCTGCACTCCATTCTCCACATTCTCAAAATATCTGGAGTTTCTCTCTTTCTAAATTCTCCACCAAACACAAGCAGGTATAATTCAGCATCTAGTCATGTCCTTTGCATGTAGTCCTGCTTCCTCCCAACTTTTAAGAGTATCTATAACTTTCCCAGGCATGGTCCAGGAGATGCCTTTGAGGTTAAGAATAATTCTCCATAGGTGAGAAGTTATCTTACAATGAAGGAAGAGATGGTTAACTGTTTCTACTGTTTCCCCACACAAAAAACATCTAGAACATAAGAGAGGCCTCTTTTCATCATATTATCTTGTGTAAGGATAACTTCCTTAGCCAATAGCCACACAAAGCAAGCAACTTTGTGAGTAATTTTTGTTTTCCAGATGTGTTTCCATGGACAATCAGCTATCTGCTGGTTGGAATGATTCATCCTTTTGTAAGCTGCGTTGACCTTGAATATACCCTTACTGCTGCCTTGCCACCATAGAACATCTGCACCTTCTTGTAATCCACTGAACTGTTCTAGTACACAGAAGAAATCCACCACTCTTTGGGCTTCCCAATCATTGATATGTCTTCTAAAAATGATGTTCCATCCTTGAGGTGTCCACATCTCTGCTATAGTCCTTTGCTGATATAGAGCCAAACTGAAGACTTCTGGAAAAGCCACATCCAATCTGCCAACTCCATGCCAATTGTCCTTCCAAAAGCTAGTCTTATTTCCATCAAATACTTTGATCTTGGAGTCATCCCTCAATTCACTCCACAGTGATCTAATGGATCTCCATAGACTAACCCCATATGGTGTAGTGACCTCCTTAGTCATCCATTTGTCTTCCGGTCCATATTTTGCTTTAATAATGTTTCCCCAAAGGAGCTGATCCTCCTTGTTGAACCTCCACAACCATTTCATTCTAAGAGCTTTGCTCTGAATTTTCAAGTTTCTGATCCCTAGGCCTCCAAATTTCTTGCCAATAGTAAGTGCTTTTCATTTCACCAAGTGATAACCCTTCCTTTCTTTGTTCCCATTTCATAAAAAGTTCCTCATGATGCTATCCAACCTATTGATGACCCTTGTTGGAATGAGGAACAAGGACATCATATATGTTGAAAGTGCATCAAGAACTGAGTTAATAAGAGTCACTCTGCCACCTAAGGATAGATATTGGGTTTTCCACCTAGCCAGTTTTGTTCACACTTCTCTAACACATTGTTCCAGATCCCAATTGACTTAGATTTAGCTCCTAAAGGCATTTCAAGATATATTGTTGGTAAAGCCCCCACTTCACCACTCAAAACAGCAGCTAATAGTTCTATATATGTGACTTCATTTTTAGGGTACAAAAAACTCTTCTTTCAGTTGATATGCAAGCCAGAGATTCCTTCAAAAAGAACCAAAATCACCCTGAGGTGTTTCAGTTGATCTTCTTCAGCATCACAGAATATGAGTGTATCATCAGCATATTGTAAATGAGTCACTTCTAAACTATTATTGCCCCTCCTAGCTACATCAAAACCTTTTATCCACCCAAACTGATTGGCTATTTTAATCATATGGTTGAGACCTTCCATAGCAATCACAAGCAAAAAAGGTGATAAAGGATCACCTTGCCTTAGTCCCCTTTCTGCTTTGAAGAATCTTGTTGGAGAGCCATTTACCAGAACTGAAAACTTGGTTGTTAACATGCATAATTTAATCCAGTTTATCCATTCTGGCCAAAACCCATTCTTTCTAGCATACACAGTAGGAAATTCCAGTTGACATGGTCATAAGCCTTTTCAATATCAAGTTTGCACAAGATACTAGGTTTCTTTTGTTTCAGCCTAGAATCCACTGTTTCATCGGCTACCATTACAGCATCCATTATTGTCTAACTTTGATAAAAGCCATTTGTTGATAGTCCACCAATTGTGAAATTATCTTTTTGAGTCTCTCTGCCAGAACTTTGGAAAACAGTTTGTAGATGCTACCTATCAAGCTGATAGGTCTGAAATCCTTTAGTTCCTTAGCACCTTTCTTCTTTGGGATGAGAGCAATCAGTGTTGCATTAAAGCTTCTTTCAAAAACTTCTTTGTCATGAAAGTTTTGAAAAGCATTCATGATGTCAGATTTCACTATCTCCCAGCATTTGATGAAGAATCCCATAGTGAAATCATCTGGGCCAGGGGCTTTATCTATTGCACATAGCTTCAAGCACCTTAGCACTTCTTCTTCTTCAAAATTACCCTGTAGAGCTTCCTTATCCTACACAGTTAAGACTGGGCAGTTGTCGTAGTAGCATGCAGGTCTCCATTGAGTAGTTTCTTTTTACAGCTTCTGATAAAAATCAACAATTTCCTCTTCTATTCTAGCTGGCTCCTATGTTAGTTCTCCTTGTACCATCAGTTGATCAATATTATTGAATCTTTTATGTGCATTTGCTACTTTGTGAAAAAACTTAGTGTTCATGTCTCCTTCTTTCAGCCATAGTGCCCTTGATTTCTGTCTCCATGAGATTTCCTCATTTTTTATCAATTGCTCATACTCCATGAAAAGAGCTGCCTTCTTGATAGTTTCTTCCTCTGTTAAAATTTTGTCTCCGAGCACCTCATCCAGTTAAGCCAATTGACTTAGTAGTTTCTTCCTTTGCTGTCCCAAATTCCCTGCCTCACTTCTGCTCCACTCCTTGAGTTTTGATTTGAGAGCTTTTAATTTACAGGCCAATATAAAGTCAGGCTTGCTTGAGAAATTGAAAGAGCTCTACCATTCTTTAACTCTGTCATTGAAGCCTGCTGTTCCTAGCCACCAATTGTCAAATTTAAAA